ATAACATAGTTATGTATAATATATTACATTTCTGACTGTATGTCCCTGTAATTATTACACACTGTAGCTTTAAGTTTTTTTTTTTTTATGGGCTGTAAACCATAAAACCACTAAATAATCCAACCAATCACCTTGGCTCCACAGTCGGCTCCTTTCTTCACACAGAATCCAACAAAAACTGGGTCGGCCATCTTCACCAGGATGTTGTCCACACAGTAAACGTGGACGTACTCCACCCCTCTCCGTTTCATGTCCTCCAGCAGGTCGTTGTCCACCAGCGCCTGGTACAGACCTCCATTACCGTCTTGAAGCACAGAAATCCAATTAGATGAATTTGAATCGTTTCTGTTTGCATTGCCTGATCTAAACCTACCTGGAGCCATGGCGATCTTCCCTTTCCTCTCCAGGATGACCTTCCCATCGAAGGAGACGGCGGGGATCATCCTCTGCTCAAACATGATGACGTCTGAGGGCTCCAGGCCGAAGTGAGAGTTCTCCTGAAAGAAGGTCTGGGTGGGCTTCAGAGTGAATTCGCTGGTCATGATGTACCTGAACATAGGGGGACAAAGATGGTAAAGACACGCTCAAAAAGAAGAAGAAAATAAGCTCTTATCAATAAGCTGGATTAGCTCATTTAATAATTAGCTAATCATATCTGCTCTCAAATCAGGAAAATGTGGAAGAGCTAACTTATTGAGCTACAGCTGATTAGCTGGAGATCTGAAGCTCCAGGAGGTTCTGATCTGTTCAAATCTGAGTTCTTTTTAATTCCAAATGTAAGGAGACCAAAAAGAAAAAGCTAAATCAAAGGCCAGGGGCGTCAGCTGACCCAAAATTATACAGGGGCATAATAGTGCACAAAAAGAAATGCGAGCGTGCAAAGCATTTCTTGGGGAATTATTTATTTTTAAAAAGCATGGGAACAGATAATTAATGCAAGCACTTTTTAAGCACTTATTTATTATTATAAAGCGTCATAAATAAACTGTACAATCAGATTGTTCTTTTCTGCATCATTAAAGATCTACACTGCAAAAAAGTTTAAATCTTGATAAGTCATTTTTTAAGCGTTATTTTATGTCATGTGGTGGGAAAATATATATATATATATCCTTTTAATTCCCTTTTACATATATTGATTTATGACTGCTGAGTTTCATTCATTCAGGCCTCAGAGCTGCATACAGGGTGTCTAAGGGAGAGGGGTCGTTTATTCTATTAGGAAATGTGTTTGGGATAAAAAATAAGGGTTCTCATAAC